GTAATGGTCACAACAATATAAGCTAGGGCATTCTATTAAGCTGTATATCTAAGGAATATATCATGTGAAATGTATGTATCAGTAGATGTATGTCACTTATTATATGTAAACATAGACCCAATAACCTTTTAATTGGTGGTCCCATCTCAGCAGCTATTCCCACATCCTGTATAAATCAGACTGAGAAATGATGTATTTCAGACCTAGGCAACCTGGTGGTTTCCAGATGTGTTGAACATCAACTTCTTCCCCATTGAGCAATGTAGCATCTGGCAACTAGGATTTAGGAGATATTGCCTAAATATGTATAAAGCTTTTCATGTACCATCATCTCAATAATCCTTCCCATAATCCTATGACGCATATCAAGCAGATGTTCTCCAGATGTTTGGGTCTACAGGCTTCCACAGTTGCCTAGCACTTTTCATGCTAAATGAGAAGAGAATTGAAATTCAACATATCTGGGAAGCACCAGTGTGCCTACTTATGAAATATAGGCCTGATTTATAAAGGATGTGGGAACAGTTTCTAATATGGATCCACCAGTTGAAAGCTTATTGGGTCTATGTTTGTAGACAATAAATGACATTTATCCATGCACACATTGCACACATTTCTCACCATATGTTCCATATGTTCATAACTTGATACAAAGCCTAGCTCTTAGGCAGTTGATTTTTTTTTTTAAAAAAAAAAAGACAACATTGAGCATCAGGCCACTAAGATAGAGATGTGAAGTTATTTTTTTCCATTTTACTTTAAAACATCACTCAATCTCTAGAATTGATTAGCAGGTAATGTTTTTTCAAAGTTGTTAATCAGGCCTACACTCTTAGTGACCTACCAGAAAAATATTTTTTAACCTGCTTGTTCCATTCCTCCCTGCTCCATTTTTCAGTCAACAGGAAGAAATAAATCTTTTTCCAAAACATTTCACAGCTTATTGGAGCACCACCTCCTAAATGAAGGCAGCCAGCAGATTCAGCAAATGTTGAAAACGCATGGAGAACAATTTTTTTTTTAAAAAAAAAAAAGAAGATTGTATTTGTTCTCTGGTGAGCAGTAGAGGGAAGAAATAAGTCCTTTATTTTTCTTTTTTAAGGGATACCTAATAGTTATTTTATAAGGTGTTAGGAAAAGAAGGAATGATTTACCTTTTCTTTTTAAGGGCATGGAAGGATGCACGTGTGTGAGAGGATTAAAGACAAAGAATGTACAAGCTGGTTGGTATGAATGGGAGTATATAAAAATGATACTGATGGATCATATTGGTGTAAATCTCATTCATCAGTTGTCCTTCTCATGGGCCTTAGATATGTTAGGACAGGTGGACAATCTACCACTCATAGGATGCACCCAATATGCAGCAACACAACACCCCAAGTTTGCACTCTCAAATTTCCATGCAATACAATGATAAAAGTACAGGTGAAAATATAAATGTTGGCCTCTCATTACCATTTCCACACTTAACCTCCCACACCCATCCTCAAATTGGCTTAGAATTGTGCCATCACTATACCATTTTGTCACCAAATTTCAGCAGTTTGATTCAGACTCCATTTGGTGAAGTTGGAAGCTTCTTTAACGTGTTAATGGAGAAGGTATCCATCCAGAACCAGCAGTGTGTTACAGCTGCCAAAATAGCCAATGCAGTCCTACAGAGGGCTGCATCAACAGAGCGATAATATCAGTGTCACATGAAGTGTCAGTAACACTTCACTAATATGAAGTGTTAGTGCCACTTTATACTGTTTTGTAACACCACACTTGGAATACTGCACCTAATTTTTGTTGCCACAATACAAAAAAGATGTTGAGTCTCTAGAAAGAGTGCAGAGAAGAGCAGCAAAGATAATTAGGGGACTGTAGGCTAAAACATATGAAGAATGGTTGCAGGAACTGGGTATGTCTAGTTTGATGAAAAGTTGGGTTAGGGGTGACATGATAGCAGTCTTTCAATATTTGAGAGCCTTTCATAGAGAAGAAGCGGTCAACCTCTTCAAAGCTCCTGAGGGCAAGACAAGAACAGAGGAAATTTATCAAGGAGAGATACAACCTAGAACTAAGGAGAAATTTCCTGATATAACAATTAATCAATAGAATGACTTGTCTCCAGAAATTGTGGGTACTCTATCACTGGAGGCTTTAAGAAGAGATTGGACCAGAATGGTACTTGGCCTGAATGGTATAGGATCACCTGCTTGAACAAAGGATTGGACTAGAAGACCTCCAAGATTCCTTCCAAGTCTGTTGTTCTGTATTCAGATGCTTGCATTCCTGCTTGTAACTCTCAGCACCAAAGAAGAAGGGGGAAACATAACAAATAAATAATTAAAAAGAGTAAAAGACAATGGGAAATCATGTCTTTGCTATAACTTCACCAACTATCCCTACCCTTACTGCATAATGGCCCCTAATCTTTTGAAAGTTGGTCAGCCATGTGTTAAGAGAATCCAGGTTTCCCCTTCTCCATTCTGCAACCTTTTTATATCCTTCACTAAAAATGCTGCCAAATCTTCATTTTAATTCTCATCCCATAACACACAGATAAAGATTCTGTGGTTCATGAAATTATTTTCAAAAGCCTTCTGAAAGTAATCAAGTCAAACCTTTGGCAAGACTGTTACTTTCCTCCCCTAGCAGCTTACTTTGGAAAAAGAAACAGAAAGGGCTGAAAGAAGAGCTGATCTCTTATTTAACTTTGCCCATTATCAGCATGGGGCTCCAAAAAGAAAAATTTCAGACTTCTACAAATATTAAAAGGAGGCAGGGTATCCAAAGTTATGTGGTCATGAGGCTTCCAAGACTTGGAAAGGTAGTCATGGTCATGACACTCATACCAATATGGCAACCCTCAAATTCCATATTCAGCAATATTCAGCCAATTACTGCAGCCAACTAGTTGGTCGTTCAGATTTCTTGCCACTCTGATGCAGAACAAATTTATTACAGTTGATAAGTGTACAGTTGATAGACTTTGGGGAAAGCTGCTATTTCTGATCACAGCCCTTTGTGACTATGTAAGCAGAAAGCTGCTCTTCTGGCTTTGTTTTGAATGTGAGTAAATTAAATTTCCCATCACAATACATTTTTGTTCAAGTCAACAGAAATAAAACTAAAGCAAAACCTATCCACTTCCTGTGAGCATGATGTCTGTAACAGCTGCATTCAAGATTTCCATCTTTATTGGAGTACACACTAATCATAAGTGAGCATTGCATGGAAGAAACTGTAACTTTCTGACTATTATAAATTTTAGTTCACTTCTGATTCAAAGCAAACTAATGATCAGTAACAGCTGTCAACAAAATGACAAATCACATGTTCCTAATTCTTATTCCTTGGCTTTGGTTCATTCCAGCATAGACCCAACTGATTGCCTGCAACAAACACCTAATTAATTCAACATGCATTTAGCCCCATAAAGCTAAAAAGAAGTGGAGGGCATTTTTAATGTTTGCCACTTGAATTATCTTCTTTAGCCTTTAATCTACTGTTTTTCTTAAATACCTTATTACAGAAATGGACCATTAACTCTACATCTGGAACCAAAGGTATCAGTTAAGATTAATTGTTGCTTAACTACATAATTCTCCACTTTTATGCCTTCATATAAACAATATCCCTGGATTTGTTCTGAATTTTTTTTTGTCCAGAGGAATCTATTCAAACAATCAACGCAAGAGCTTTTCTAAACATCACTTGTGCACAAAGTAAGTATTTCCTGAAGATGCTGTACAGTAAGAAATGGCAGCATTCCCATTGCTTATGCTAAGATTCATGGCTACCTGGCATAGTTAGGCCAACAGAAGTACCATTTAAGGGTAGCATAAATGCTTTTTTACATTGCTATCTAAAACAGCATATTAATGTGTTTGGTTTTCATCTAAAGAGATGGACCTGAGGAGGCAGGTGTAATTTGTCATTCCACTTCCAGCAGCAAAGTCTCTTCCTGAGATGAGACTAATCCAACAATACACCATTTCAAGATCTAATTGTTGTGCCAACACATTCCAAGAGTCCTACAGTGCTAGACTATTGTGCCAACTGTCCAGCATTTAAGCATGTTGTTCAGGAACAAAATCAAAGAAAAGTGTAAGGAGTAATACGGGAGTAAAACACTTGCACTCACATTGTTAGTGCCTACAAGCAAGGGGCCTTAAGAACTTTGATGGGAGGAAATTCATTCAATTATTTTTCTTAAATATATTATTTTTAATATTTGATACATGTGTGGATGTATATGACAGTTTTCATGATGAAGTACAAATGTTACATTCTTATTACTGCCTTGTAAAGACATTGTATTGTTTGTCATTAGAAAGACTTAACATCTTTTTTTACAGGACCGTAGAAATAAAACAAAGAACAAAATTAATATAAAAATATATTTTCAAAAAAATAAAACCAGAATCTGAAAAAAATCAGAACATAATATTGTATTTCAGTTGTCTTAGTACTCTGTAGCAACATAAAGATTTAAAATCTTAAACATCTTTATATAGAAAGAGTGAGGATGGTGAGGATGATAATATTTGCTAAAATCAGAGATGAATGTCCAAACTGGATTGCAGTCTGCTTTCATATGAGACAAGACAAAATCCATATGTTGTTCTAGAAAGAAATTGCATATCCTTCCTTCTCTATGAATTTAACAACAAAACTTCATTCATATGTATCTCTATATTAAACAGAAAAGTAGATGTCATCTGTAGTTGAGAAAAGCAAGCTGGGTACAGAGAAAACATTTTTGAAAACATTTAAGTGAAAATGCCAAAGAAAGAGTGATAGCAAGGCTATGTCTTCATAAAATAGTAGAGAGAATTACTAGGTTTTGAGATTAAACTACCTTGTAAACGTAATAGCTGTTTTTAATTGCAAATTGTTTAATTTTCTTGCAATAGAGGCTGTATTGTGTATGAGTTTATATTGGAAAGCAGAGCTCCCTTGAGACCCATCTAGAATGTTACAATTTGAAAACAAAGGAAGAAAGTTACCTGGAGGTGTTTCCAGAGTTGATTTATCCTTTTTTGGTTTGATAGCTTTCTTTGATTTGTACTCTTTCTTGCCTGGTTTGAATCTTGGAGATTCTTCTATTTCTGCAGAAGGTTTCAAGTCTTTTTCTCTTGGTTGCTCCGTGAAAGGTGACAAGTCCTCATTGGGATCCGGATAAGAATAATAGTGATTCCTATTGAGGATTTCTTGTAGGTAGTAGTCCTGGTCCTCCATGGGGAGAGCCCACGTGATAAAGCCATGCAGTATCAGATCAAAATAACAAAAGACAAGGTAGAACTGAAGAAAGGATTTCTTGAAAATGGGAACCTTTTTCATCATGTTTATGTTGTGCTAAAACAATGTAGCAGTTTTCCAGACTAAATTTAAGTAGAGTGAAAAAGAAAGATAAAAGCAAGTGAGCAAGGAAAAAGAAGAAAGAAAGAAAGAAAGAAAGAAAGAAAGAAAGAAAGAAAGAAAG